CCCCCCCCCCCCCCCCAGAATTCAAAAGCGCAATTAACTCCCTCTTTTGTCGACCCCTGAGCCCAACTAACCGCATCGAATGCACGCGGTGCCCTTTCCCTTCTCCATTAAAACGTTTAAATGAAAATCGAGTGGTCCTGGAGGCGTCCTTGTACGTCCGATGTACGACATTAGTCCATTAAATCGTGACAGAGGCGACCATACTGGCCACTCGCCGCCACGTACACAGTCCGCCCCCTGTTAAGGCTTGTACGTAACCCACAACTAAAGCCAACGATATTTCCTCTTTATGTCGCCCGTTCCCCTCGCCCCTCACCCTCGACCACTTCCACCGGCCTTTTCACCCTTCTCTCACACGCGCGCAAGTAAATCCACGAATTTATGAAGCGATTCCACGGAATAACACGCGTTACCACTAATTTCCGCGATTTAAGTCCGACGGAAAATGGTTGGAAGACAGTTCTGTAATGAGGGTTCATGGGGAGGGGGATTTCCGGGGCGAAAACGTCGGGGGTGTGTTTGTTCGGGGGATTTTGCCGGCGCTTGATGCCTCGGACATTGCGGGATATTCCCCGCGGCACGAGATGCAGCATTGACGGGTGACCGTCAAAACCGTGAGATAGGTTTGTGTTTTGCCGTCTGATGTTGTAGGGCCATGCATTATGGAGATGACGGGTTGACTGCATGGAAATCAGTTACATGGGGAATTGTTTGATGGAGGGAATATGGATAATTAATTGGGAAATGATTGATTCGATCGTTCTGGTGAACATTTTTGGCTGAGTCATCGGTACACGTTTTGGAAATTTTTGATCACATTCAGTTCATTACTGCGCGGAGAAAAAATACAGAGACAAGGCAATAATCGTGGAGCGAACTCGATTTTCAGTACTTTTTTATCCTGTACACTGACAGAAAAAATTATTTTTATTGAGATGTTTCGTTCTTAAAACAAAAATTATATACTTGAACCAATTCCAAATGAATAAGATCTTACGGTGAAGATCAGTTGTTTCCTCTTGAGATACATTTACTTGAATCAAATAAAACAGTAATTGGCTATAAAAATAAGCTTAAATGAATGACCTCAATTATTCGTCAGGTTTTCCACAGAAATTACAGGCCTGGAGGCCATGCGTTTTTGAAAAAATAATTTCTCCCCTCCAGAAAATGATTTTTTGGCAAAAATATCTTTTCTTCTCAGTGAAGCGCTTATAATCGATCCATTATGGGAATATTGTATCATCTGCAGTTGAAGGAAGTAAAATACGGGCTAGAGCGTTCAATTTTAATCCCATGAAATGGAGAATCTCAGGCAGTGAAGCACGTCGAGTATTATTGCACGGAATGAGATGAAAAATTCTGATAAAAATGAAATGACAAAGTGCCGGTGATGCGCAACGTGTCCCCGTGGGAACGTGCCGAGAATATCCACCGATTTTGTCTCAATAAAACGCCTTATGTACTGAGAAATAAATCTATATACGGAATAAGACATGAGAGGACGAGGAAAAAGAAATAATGAATGAAATATCGAACAAGGGCAAGAAGACGGTGGTGAGGGATTTTTCCTCTGGCCTCTGGAGTTCAAACGTAAAACGGCAGATGAAAAAAAAACATCAATCGATCATAACTGCACCGATGTGGAATGCGAAATGAAGATGAGAATATTTTCGGATATTTGATGGAACATTGAGTTCAGTTTTTTTTTCGGTTTGAGCATAAAGAGGATAAAGCGGAGGTATTTGTGAAAAATTCAAGGCGTTATTTTTGGCATGCAGCCACTGGATATACACGCCACTCATGCGCATCTCACTTGCATCCATGAATTAACCAAAATGCGACACGAGCCATGAGATTCGCCTCCGCGTGCCCCAAGCATTTCTGGCAAGCGTTGTACCTCGGAAACTAAAATTCTTAAAATCATGTTTTATTCAACGTGAAACGAGTCTGTCATACCACATTGCTGGGATGATACTCGGTGGTGTACTGGGCTCATGCCATTTATCAAGGGGGTAGAAAAGTGTTTCGGAGTACGAAGAGAAAGGTTGGATAGAAATTATCTATAAAATCGCGCAAATTTAGATATAGGGAAAGATAATCGCGCAGCAAAACGCCAATTCTACACTGTTAGGAAATTACTCTTTAAATTTCAACTACAACATCTTTAAATTTTTAACGACGAATAATTTACCCGGAATTTCACTTCATTGATGTTGTTCATATGGTAATGTAAATAACTGAAAATTTAATTGAATGTATCGCTTAATTTTCACGATCGGTTAGAAAATCCAAATTATCCTCGAAAACTCAATTTTACTGAACTTCCAAGATGAATCAGGAATTCCATGAGCAATTTAGTTTGAAATTGATTTCAAGCTCAGAATATTGAGAATTTAACTGCACCTGTTACTTAAATTTCCAAAAAATTCCAACAGTGTACAGAAAATATTTTTTGGAGGAAATTACCTTCACATTTAGTAAATTGTTTCCAGCCAACGGAGAAAAATTCACCATTCGTCTCGCACCCGTATCTCAAACATTGTTCTCCGTGAATTGGCAACAGCATTTACCCCTAAATTTCATCCGTCCAAACGATACCATATTCTCATAATGAATCGATTATCAGCACATCAAATCGCACAAATGCCAGCTTTTCTCGTCGCAAATAGAGATTTTATTCTGCTAGAGTGGATATTCCTCGTTTATCTCCAGCGCAGTGTTCTTCTGCGCACAGGAGTATGGGGCAGAGGACCCCCCTCATACTTTACCACTGGTTATCACGACTTCCTAGATGGGTGGCAGTCATAAAATTCACCCGTTATCGTTTACGGCTGCTGCAGCCACCACCACACGACACAAGTTTTGTTTATTTTTATACTTTTTCGTTCGGAGTGTGTACACTTGTTTAGAGGGGTTTCTTCTCATACCTCGGAGATGGGGGAGCAAACAAATCTGGAGAGTGTATTTTGAGGTTTAAGTTGTAAGAATGAAGCTGGGCTCTTGAGATGTTTGGGCGGTGAAGTTTATGGCTTGTTGGGCCAAGTTGTTTTGGAGGATAATCCGGGATTGTTTTGGATTTATTCTGCATGATAATGACAAGTCTGCCACTGGCTTAGAATGAATGATTGAGTTTTATCCACACGATTTCGTTGGGATTTAATTAATTTCGGGCTGGATCAACCTCTGAACGACTTTCAAAACCTTTTCTGCCCCCTCCGCCTACCTTCATGACCCTATTTTGACCCTCATAACCCTATTTTGACCCTCACGACCCTTATTTTGACCCTCACGATCCTTAACTTTGGAGTCTTAATTTCGAGTACCAAATTTTCATCACCAGAAGTCGATTATGATTTTTATAATAAACAGAGATAATTCAGCCGTCGTCTCTCCGACTTCAGGTCAAAACACTCGACTCGAGTCCAGTCTACTACAACAAAATCCATAATAGTTACTCACCACACACCCCCTGATGCTTGACTCTCGTGTTCTTTCGGTTGCGACAGCTAGCCTGTCGCATCAGACACTGGTTACCGTACGTCACGTCGTCATTACCGCAGACTGGCTCTGATGTTACCGGACAATCCTGAGGGCACTGGCACAGGCCACGACCCGTCTCCGACACAACGCACACAGCACCCCAAGCGCAGAAAGTTTTTTCACAGGGCTCTGCAATTAAAAGAGAATCACATTAATGCTCCGTCAACATTCCCTCCGCATAACGTAAATTCCCCTCCCCCTCTGCTGGTTTTTAAATTCCCCAAAAACTGGACATTAACTATCCTCGTTATTCCCTTTTTGTTCAGAATAAACTTTTCATCCGTCGTTGAAATGAAAAAAAAAAAAAAAGAAAAAGGAAAAGGCACATTAATTGTATCTCCCATTTTGTTTTATTGCAGTACAGATATCTCATTCGCAACTTTTTCCACTCCAAACTGAGCCATCCAGACCCCCGGCCCCCAGTGTGGGACTGAGGGAGACAAAAAAAAAATGAAAACGAAAAATAAAAATAGCTGAAAGAAAGGAAGAGAGAGTCGAAGCTTTATATTGTGTGGTTGCGACGCTGGGATTTAACGACCACGACGACAATGGCATCAGGAGTGCGACGTGACCCGCAATATTTCGAGAAAGTGGAGATAGAGAAATGCCGGATGACGAAAAGCCGTTGGCACGCAGAAAACTGGGCGGGGGGGGATAGGGCGGCGTCGGCAAAAAGCTTTGGAGAAAAAAATTCAAAAAAATATATGGAATATGAATCTACTCCGAGGATGAATGTGTGAAGTCGACTGTTTTCTCACCATCTCTCACATTCTGGGCGATGGAACAACACGTTGAATCCATTTCTGGGATGAATAATTTCGCGGTGAATGTGAAGTCTTTATTGAATAAATTATTAATTAGTCCATTGATTCGTAGGGGTCTGCCTTGGGGTTAATAGGGTCGAAAATCGGTTTGAGGATGTATTTTTTTATATCAAAAGTATTTATAAGTTGTGGCCAGGGGGCTGTTTATTCGGGCCCTTATGCTGACCCTTGTGACCCTTAATTTATTTCAGCTTTGTAAATCTCAAATGATTGACCATCGAGCGCTTTTCTCTTTAATCCATTCCCGTCGCAACGTCGGATTATTGACGATCAAGGCGCGTTAGCTAACTCCGTGTCTGACCATCACGCGATTTTCTCCTTAAGGGGAGACCGCACTGAAATTTCAAAATCACGGAGGTCTTTGGGGGAGTTTACTACTTCAGCTTTAATGTAAAAAAATAGGAAAACATCAGGTTTTAATTTTAGTTTTGATTTAAAATGCACGGACGATAAAATAATATTCAAAAGTGATTAAAACATATTTTGATTTTGGCAGCCGAATTTTTTCATCGAGCACACCGTAGTAGTTCGTTTGTCCTCACAATTACTATGCTAAATAGTAAATTTTCGAGTCGTGCATTCTATTTCTCACATCTTATTACATAAGATTATTGTAATAAGAAGGCGAGTTCTTTAATTAAATAAATGGGGCGGTTAGTTTTCCAGGAATCAGCTATTCAAATCGAACATAAAATAATTTTATATTCTTTCTTTGCCACGATTTGCGCCCTCACATCCCCTCCATTCAGCCCAAACTGAACGCCAAACCTCTAAGATAAAACCAAAACAAACGAGAATTCCCAACTCGTTAATTATAAACGCTCTCCGATCGACACCGAAAATCCCGGAAATCTGTTCGAGTTAATCCCCGGTCATTAATATAGCAGACGACTTGATCCCACGGGCAGGTGAAAAAAAAAAATCGCTCGATTCACACAAGACTGGGTCAATCGTCTTTCCCACGGTGAATCGGAGAAATCCAGAAATTTCTTTTTTTCCATTATTTTTTACCATTGACGTATAAGCTTCTTTATCCACTTCTTCGGGTCTTCCGGGACGTTCTCTCAAGCTTTCACGAGGAGATTAGTGAGTTGGAATCGTCAACCTTTCTTGCAAACGTCTTATCTCCTCTCGCCCAAATAAAAATAAAGAACCCAAACGTCTCCCTTCTCTCACTCTTCTCCGCCTGAAATCTGGACTAAGAGACAAATGAAAATTCACATGATTTCTCAGCCAAGTTCGTTATCCCGATGAACATTACTCAACCCTACACAAGGCATTTCACGACGCCACCCCACCCCCGCCCCCCTCCGCGCGTTTGCAATTTTATTTTTATTTTTTCCTTGGGCGGTAGCTTGTAATAGAACGGGGTTAACTCCTCGCAATGTCGTTGATACGATCGTGCATGGGTTTAGTGCCGTATTTCACGTAGTTTATAACAGCTAGCCGGGAGGAAACTCTAGCGCCCAAGCGTTGACGGTAAACAGGGCTAGGTTAAGTAGCTAACGCTCCACCGAGCCCCCCAAGGGTCAACGCTCGAGTCATTTGATCCATTCCCGGTCGCGTCAACTTGGTGCATAAATATTGTTATTTCTTTCCAGGAAAATGGGGGAAGAAGTTTTTAGGCTTCCCGGGGGGTGGAGCTGAGCGGAAAAAATGGGGGTTGCTAGGGTGGCGAGAAATTAACGGCGGAGAAGCTTTCAAGCCTCTTTTCGATCGATTGTTTCTTTTTTTTTATTTAAAGTGCTCAAGTCTGAATTTGAACTATTTATATTGCTGTTGTTTAATATTTCATTCTTGTAGGAAATTACACATCTGTATTTTTTATTCAATTTTACTTCGCTCGCGGATTACACTTCGAAACGTAATTTTTACGTTTCTTTCTGGTCATTTTTATTGAATTTTTCTCTCCGTGTTCACAGACAGGCTTGCGGTGAGATTGACAGTGTGAAATTCGATGATTTCCGCATAATTTTCTGATTTTTCCAACTTTTAGAATGACATGAACGCACGGGGATTTAATTAAAAACCCGCAACATTAAAAATCTACAGAACATCAAATTTAAGAATAAATAATTTTTCAAAAAATGCAAAAAAAATATTATTATTAAATAAATTACATTGTAGGACATCTCTACTCGAAAATTAATAAAAGACAAAAATTCCAAAATAAAGACGCCTCCGGAATAAAATTTGCACTCCTCCCGTCATTATGAGACTACTTTCATCAAGCTATCTGCATGTTAAATTCAATCAAAAAATTCATGTGCAGCAGAATGTGTGTAAGATTAAAATCAAATTGCGGTCATTCAATTATTTGCAGGTAGCGGGTACGTGCCAACGCGAGAGGAAGGTGGAAAATCCAACAGAAAAGGTTAGAGTTTATGTACTTCAATGCCGGTGTAAACATTGGTCAGTTGCCGTGACCAGAATACTCACCAGGAGTTGAAATGAACGTACGCTTTTCGGGTCAGTATATTTTCCAAAAGCCTGTATTCTTTGAAAACACGTGATCCATTTCTCCCACTGGGGTTTATCCAGTCTAAACACGGGTTGAGGTTTATAAAGGATTCAGAAAATGATTTTACGGTTATCTTGTGGGACTCCAATGAATTCACCAGGCGGCACTGGAAAATTCATGAAAATTCCCATTCAATATCGAACCCTTTCCGATCCATTTGACGATGAAAATTGTACAACTGGGGGCGTTGTGATCACAATGTTTTTAAAGTGATGGAGGAGGAAAAAAGTCGCAAGTGCGATGTCTTTTTATTCTGAGGGTGCTATCATCCGTCATGATCCGTCTTGTCCAGCGGTCGTGCTCCACAATTACTTATCAACGTTGGGGGGAAGAGAAATTAGAGGTAAGACGGAGAAATGGGATGGATGATGCCGGAGTTTTAATAAATTGATTCGTCTGGGGAGAGTTCTATAATTTGGCCATTAATCATTGGACATTTTTTTCAAACAGGGAATACGCTTTTCATCATCGGCTTTAAGATTGAATGCTCGAAAGTTTGAATGAGTCACGAGCTGGAGATTTTTCGAGTGCAGGGGAAGAATGTAAAATTATTTTTTACTGTGGGAACACAGTAATTATTAATATGAGAAGCAGTATTAATTAATTTTTCCTGGCATGTTCACATAGTAATTTTTAATTTTATATTCTCTGTGAAGGATTGCGAAATGAACGGGGAAAAGGAATTTATCAACATGCAATAATTATTTATCGGCATGATGTGAACCGTCAGTTGATATATTGCGTTCATTTCGAATGAATGAATATTTATTTCCTGGAATCGAAACATTTTCGTTGGAATAAATTTATGATTTCATTAATTTCCGATAATGATATCGTTAAAATGAATACGAATTTTTCGTGAAGAGTGTTATTCACCACTTGAAAAAATTTAGTTCACTGAGAGAAAAAATTACTTTCGCCGAAAGATTACATATTCCCCTGAAGAGATCTTCTGTTGTGTTGAGTCAGACTCCACTGGAAATTCAACGGAACCGATGCCTTCAATGAAGTGCAAATACAATCATTATTAGTTCTGCTCATCAATGATAATCAGAAGTTCCGCAGTTCCACCTGGGACTTCATCCCAAAGTATCCGACAAAACCGTTAGAAAATCACATGTTGGTTTTAACCAATGTAGACATTTACATAACCCCATCAAAGGAAAATCCTCAGAATTCCCTGTAAACTCTCAACTATTACCGGCAAAGGGCACTTCCGGCAGAAGCTGCGTAATATTTTTTACATTTGATTGAAGCCCCCCGGTAATGAGCTTGTACCTGACTGCAGAACTGCACAAAGAAATTCACAGCCGAATGAAATTGTAGAAAAAAAAATTCACTGAGTGAAAGGTCTGCAACGCAAAATTTCAACGTGAAAAGAAAAATCCTTTCGGAGAACATATTTACATCCAATTCATTACTGCATATTTACTCGATCCCTGTAAAAATATTGAAACAGGCGAACTCACTTGTGTACTAAATAAATAGAGCACGCGTTTTAATGCTGCAAGATTTTCCCAGCGGCATGTCTCTTTGAAAACATGCTGTGAAAAAAAATTGTGCCAACGCAGAGGGAAATATTTCAAGTCCATCAAAAGTTCGTTAACATAATCATCCAGGATGTAGCACAGCTCCAAATGAAAATACACTTTTTTTACCTCGAAATGGGCAACAATTGATCGTCTTTCCACCAACAAATCCTTTCACTTCCACTGTGTGCTGAAAAAATTAAAGCTCCCCCCCCTGACATTCAGAGAAGACGAAACTGAATTAGTGTCAGTTGA